TCACCTTATATTCTGCTAACAACATCGCATGCTAGTTTGAAATGAAAGAATCATATATTATTATGTACTCGTATAGTCGTATGTATATATCAGTATAGTACATGATGAGAATTCATTATTTAATTTATAGTACTTTATTAATTATAACATAATCATAATTTTTATGGTGCACATTCACCCCTTATTGTATAATAACTAACAAATTACACAAAAAATGTAATGTCAACCATAACCTGTTACTTCTTAAAGTGCTTTAAAAATTGAAGGGCGAGATAATTTTATAACTCGTTATTTTCTTTAATCTTTTTAAGAGTAATTTATAAACTAGTTTTCCACATCGAAGACCTTCACGTGTTTAAATCTTCATTGATTTTCAAAATAAATTGAGCCTATGTTAGATTGCTCATAACCTCACTATCAAACTCAATGCATTTCTAATGCAAAAACATATATTCATTTCTCACTAATATAATTTTCGTTCTCTCTACTCGCGACTCAAGTTACCCTTTAATACTACTATCTATTTGGGTGTGTTGTATTTGCCACCATTTATTTCCTGTGTGATTTCTGTTATTTATGCAATAATTAAATTAAGTATAATTTTACACATAATATAATATTCATATTGATTTAAAATATCTATTATTATGTATTATGTATATAAACAAGTAAACCTGACATTAAATTTGGTTTACGTATTTAAAATTTATTCTATCGAATTATATTAGCCGTTGCTTACACTACATAGTATAAAGTGTAATTTGTTAAAAAAAAAAAAAAGAAGATTATAAAGGCCCTTTGATAATATAGTTAGCTTATTAATCAATTTTGTTTGACTTAATTAAATAATTAGTATAAATATTTAATTAATTAATTTTTCATAACTTTTTACAATTTTAAAATGTTAAAATTTAAAAATTTGTTCAAAACAAAATTTTCAATCAATTTTTTTTTAGAAAATAAAAGGCTAATTTATTAATCATAAACAGAAATGTTTACAATACAGATCATTAGAATGACAGTGCATTCTTTATCGTCGGACATAGAAACAAATTTTCTAACAATGTTATAGAAAATTTAGATCACGGATGGTCTTATAAATTTGAAGCCCGAAGTTGTTGGATAAACTCGGTGCTTTTTCACAGATTTGGTTAGACATAGCCAAGCCTAACTATGATGTGACCGTTTTACCATTTCACGCTTATGATGATAACTCGCCAAAGAAGCGAGAGGAAAACTCGCCAAAGAAACGAGAGGGAAACACTCGCCAGAGAGACGAGAGAAAACAAACTAGTCAAAGGAACAAAGAGATAACGCAGAACCAAAAAGATGATAGAAAACCTGTCAGATTTGGAGAGTCTCTCACGCCTTCCTCCGAAAAAACTATCAGAGATAATCTCAGATCTAACGTTTATTCTTAAACCAGCCAGAGGATGGAGTCTACTAATGGCACCGCCGGCTCAACCCTCCATTAAAGCGTCAGCCGAAGAATGAAGTCGTAGGGCATTTACAATGAAAAAAAGGAGAGAAAACACTTATTTGAAGAAAGCAGGTTTCATCAATTTTTTAAAAGAATCATTTTATATGTAATCAATCAACTAACTTATTAAATATTTTCCTACAATCAATTAACACTATTTACCAAACAACACGTGTAACGAAAGTTAGAGTGGGTAAATGAAAAGATCCAGTACGATAAGGAAATTTACGAGGTTTTTGTCACTTTCCCCGGCTCAACCGTCTTGATAAGGGTTTAAGGCCGGAATTGGGAGAGTCGAGAGGAGGAATAGCAGCGAAAGCTAGGGTTTTAGCTGTGAAATTGAGATGGGAGAAGGAAAACAGCAAATCATGGCAGTTCAAATGCACGCACAGAATCCTATTGAGCAGTTTCAGGCCAAGTATAAGGAAATTGAGGAGGGATTCAAGAACTGGCTAGCTAAGCAATCCTTGCCTGTTGAAGCCGCCGTCGTGACTGCCACCAACTTCGCCCAAGGCGCTTTCCTGGGCGGCCTCCTGGGGAATTTCTCATCGGACCTATCTAGCTCCATGTCCTCCCCTCCTCCCGGGGCCAATTTCGATCCCAATGTCATGAATGCCTTTCAACAAGCCCAGGTCCGTCTCTATCTTTATCCATTTGTCTTCTGTAATCTGTATGAGTGCATAGAGTATTTGTTTATTTTGCGTATTTATTGGGTTGAATAACACACTTTGGTATTCTAGTTGCTCAAAGATCATTGATTTGAATTTTGTGTTGAAATGAATTTGAGTTTGAGCTTGATCATATGCATCTGAATCTGAATTTCCTTTTCAGGCACTTTCAGGTGGCCCCTGGATTCAAGCCCGGAACTTTGGTGTCATGGCTGGTTCAAATGCTGGTATTTCTTGTGTCATGAAAAGATTGAGAGGCAAGGAGGATATTCAGACAAGGTGTGTGTGTGTGTGTGTGTGTGTGTTTTTTTTTTTTTTAAATCTATCTTTTGCCTTTCGTATAAGATTTGTATATGCCACTTAATGAGCTCTTCATGGAAACGATAATAAGGAACATCCATACATACAACTACTAAAGAATTCTCGCATACTTTTCCCAAAACTAATGTGCTGCATTATGTAGTTTTGGAGGATTAAAAGGGCGAGACAAAGTGTTGTCTAAACTAGAATTGTTTCTACTTTTCATTCTCAATTTGATTGAGGTGCGTGGCTCTACAATCATGGCCTTTTCACAAAGGGCTCAATGATCTTTCATTGGTTTATTGAAACTTGCAATTTATGGACTCAAAAGAATTACGTCAATGTAGACTATGTTATATGGTGTTGATAAATTTATGGTTCCTGATATTTGGTTTCTCAAAACCATTTATTTGTAATGCCATTAATGTTTTATTCAGTTTTCTTTCCTTTTTCTGCTGTCCTTACATGTTGTTACAAAGTGCATCTTTGAAGATTATTAAGTCTTTTAATTGCAGTATGACAGCTGCATTTGGTTCTGGAGTCTTGTTTTCTTTAGTTAGTGGCGTGAGTGGCGGCCAAAATCCAGTGGCTGGTGCTTTACAAAGTGGCGTATTCTTTGCACTTGTTCAAGGTGGACTTTTCAAGGTAATTGCTCTAGTTTGAGTGGCATGGACTTCAATAATTAATTGAAGCAAGTAGTGCCTATGTATATCTAGAACTAGAAATGAGCATTTGCCTATTCAAGCGTTTTAATAGTTCCCAACAGATGCTTATCATTTCTCATCTTTTCTATTTGTGGTGAGGGGAGAGGGAATAGTTTTTATGAACACACTTAGCCAAGTGTGTGTATTGACAATTTGCACGTAGTAATACGATTTGTTCGGGAGTTTGTTTGTGAAAACAAGTTTGTATTTGGTTTTTGTTTTTTTTTTGACAACAAGTTTGTATTTGGTTGATGCAGTTGGGACAGCAGTTTTCACAGCCACCCGCAGAAGATATTCATTATGTCAAGACTAGATCAATGCTAACCAGCCTTGGCCTGGAGAGGTACGAAAAAAACTTCAAGAAGGGTATGCTGACCGATAGCACTTTGCCTTTACTGAATGATAGGTAAGCTAATTTTCACCATTTAAATACGCGTCTTTGCATTTCCATACGGGATCTCATATGTCGTTATGGTTTTAGTGCTCTTCAAGATGTGAAGATTCCTCCAGGACCAAGGCTTCTCATTCTTGATCAAATACAGAGGTGATCTAGAACAATGCTTTTTTTTTTGACACGCATGTTTTCTTGGATTTGCCACAACAGACCATCGCTCATTTTTGTTTCCTCGTTTTTGTGTTCATTTAGGGACCCGGATCTCAAAGCAAAACAAAGATTCAGCTAGTGATACATTAGCATTATGATGAGTTTTGAGGAGTTTTGAGTTTGTAGTTTGTAATCCATATGTTGTCGAATGCTGGCACTATTACTTAGTTTCATATTTCACCTTGACCTGGTTTCATTGTTCTAAGAAATTATTTTTTTTTTGGTTGCCAATTCTTAGCCTTTAGTACATCATATTCATCCCCCCCCCCCCCCCCCCCCCCCCTCCTCCTCCTCATATGTGCACACTGAGCAGTAAAGCATCATATTAGGGTGGTATGATCAGTTCTAGACTAGATAGAAACATGTGTAATAATGTAAAATAAGCTTCAAAATTGAATTATCATATGCAATCTGGCAATTAAGAATAACTAGTATTTGCATCATATATATAGTATATAGAATATACACTATAATAATAATAATAATAATAATAATAATAATAATAATAATAATAATAATAATAAAATGATTATAAGCAGTAATAATTTCATAACAAAAAACATTAAAATTTTGAATAATACAACGGTCGTAAATAAAGATTTTTAATCCTTTAGGATTTCTAACTCTTGACACTGTTACATACTTTAATAGGAAAAACAATTTCTCATTCCTTCAAGGATCAAACAGATCATAGACCAATGTGATACTTGTAACTGCAGAGTATAAAGTTTCTCCCCATTTACCAACCAAAAGAAAGACCATAAAGTTCAGAATAAGTTCAAAATTGATGCAAAACCCCATAAAGCTTATCCACTAAGAAGATGGCGATATTGCACTTCCTCCACCATGGAAATGCAATAACACACATCTAAATAGCTAGCAGATTCATTGTCAAGCCTATAAAACAAAAAAACAAAAAAACAAAAAAACAAAAAAATGGGGGGTGGGGTAATGAATGAAAAATAGGAAAGTTCAAATGAAAGCTGGATACAGGGATGTGTAAACCAAATGGGTGAAATTGGATTTTGTTTTGAAATTAAGGAGAAGATTGAAGTGTCCTATGCATGATTGGAATAGTACTATGTGATGCATGACAATTGGTAATGGGACATGTGAAGAGAAATGTGTATTTCTCAAAACAATGGTTCATTCGAAAAGTCCAGTTAACAATTTTTTTTTAAAAAAAATAACTACTGCCATTATTATAAAAAAGGACAAGCTATTAAAGAAATTAGTTTACAAGTTAGTGTTGCTTTCATATCGATGGAGAGATGCAGGCCGAGGTGCTTTGAAACTGCCGATTGCGAGGGTTTAAACGCTCTCTATGAGCTCTTGCTGAATTTCCGGCCACTCAACTGCTCAGACTCGTATAACATGTGATTTATGAGGCCTCTTGCAGCACTGCAGAACCAAACAGCTACATTAGCACTCCCAGAAACACGCGGGAAGAAAAATAAATGATTGTGCAGGCTAATGGTGAAGAAAAATAAATGATTGTGCAGGCTAATGGTACACAAACCGTGAGAATTGGTGGTATTGGCAAGGCAGAACAAGGGATTTCTAAGCTACACTAACAAACATTATTGAAGCAATGAAGTTCAATAGAGTCAACAAGCTCTGCCAATTTTGACATGTATAAAGAAAAGGGCAATAGCGGGTTAACTCACTCGTCCTTGAGCTTTTGAATCTTCTCTGGATCTTTCTCGTGCATGTTCCTTCTGAACTGCTGCCTTACCATATCAATGAGTAGCTTTGTGTTGTATTGCTGCATGGTAACATCATAATAGCAACCGCTAAAATGGTAAGTTCTCTCCAAGACTACATTAGAACGTAAAACCATTCCTGTACCTATGGAAGACCAGGTGAATCACTCTCAACAAAGGCACAAACGTAATTATAATAAGTAGACACCACTGCTCAAAAAGTTCAGACGCACCATGAATATGCAGGAATAATTCATAAAAGAAAGTTGAATGACAAAGATTAGAGCTTTTGGCAACAGCATAGGCCAACCACATACGAACAAATATCACGAGCTGTTGACTTGATAACCACAAGGTTAAAAGTTCGACTCCTAACGGGAGTGGCCTATTGGCCTTCTTAGTTTGAGTTGGTCAGCTATGGACAACCTAGGCTAGTTAGTTCTTTGCCGGCTAGGGTTTACCTAGTGCACACACATGGATAGTGACTATAGATTTCTCTCGTCACTCAAAATGATGAGCCGAATATATTGAGTGTTTTGCATTTGGGATTCAGAATAACATCAGAAATGCAATTACTAGTACAAATACTGATACTCACTCCTCAAAGTAACATAATCAAGAATAACCAAAACTTATACAGATGAACTTACAACAACAAACACTTCAACAATATAATCAATCCTAGAGAATACCAGCAAGAATGGATTTTTAAACAATGGGAGGAGGAAACAAATAGGTCAGGCCTGAAAATAGAAAAAACATAAAATAAAATAAAATAGCATACCTTACTACCAATATACTTAGTTCGACGAAGACATTCGCGATAGAGCTAAAACACAGAAAATAAACAAATTAAATGGAAAGCAAAAATAAGGTATTAATGGTGGAAATGGAGAAAAAATACAAAGTAATGAAAAGGAAACACACTCGGATGGTGTTATTGGCAAGTTCGGGAGGCAGTGCTGTTTGAAGAGACGGCATAATTGTAACCCTTTCGCTGCAAAAAGCGAATCATCAGAACACTACAAGACATTGGGAAATCGAAAGAAAGGGTGATGTATTCCATTGGATGATTTCAGAACAAGATTGGATTGGAGGGGTAACAGAATAGAAAAACAAATTAGAAAAGGAAGTAATTAAATTGACAATGAAGGGAGAAGAGATTAGCAGCAGAAATGCAGTAAGCACTTACATCAATCAAAGTTCTTTTTTTTTTTTTTTTTTTTTTTTTTTGGTATTTCGGTATTAAAAAAATGAAACCATTTTAATATTAAAGCTTGGTGGGTTCGGTTTTTAGTTGTTCAGTTTACTATCCCCAATTTTCAACATTTTCTAATTTTCAATTTGTATAGTTAATATTTGAAAACAAAAATTATTAAAACAATGCTTTCAAATATTCAACACATAAACGTTTAAACAAACTGGAATGAAATTCCAGAAACGTCCAGTTTAATAAACTGGAATGTTTCATTCCTGGTTGTTCCAACAAGATCTTTCAAAAAAAAAAAAAAAAATGACCGTGTTTTCCACTACATTTAACATTTCAAATTTTCAACAATCATAAACAAAATTACAGAAGCAAAAATCAAACATACCTCTGGTATACTTGGTAAAAGCCATGGCAACAAACAAAAGGAGAAAAAAGATAGAGGTTTTAGAAAATAAAAAGAAAGTAGCCCCATACCTCTGGTCGCCGGTCGGACTTCAATGGTAGACGACGGTGAGGCTACGGTGGCGGTAAGTCGCCTACGACGTTCAGTGCGGGCTGCGTTCGATTGGAGTATTGCGTAGTGGCTTATGCGATTAGGAAATTTAGAGTTGGTCAATATTTATTGCCAGTTTGATTGGACGTAATTTTTTTTTTTTTTGGGAAGAAGGAAGGGGGGAGTACCCAACTAACGCTAATGTCTAACGTTAGCAGACACATGGATTTCTCCATTGGCACTCAGCTTATCACAAATTTCTCTCGGAGGAAGGTGAAACTCCAACCAATCGTAATGCCTTCTGGGGGCTTCCTTGGCCAGCCAATCTGCCATCATGTTATCCTCACGGGGGATATGTTCAACAATAACTGACCAATCTTTCTTCATCCAATCCTTGCACCATCTAATTAAGATCCCGCAGTTGCCCAGTATATCTCGTTGCTCATTGAGCCACTCTACCGCTTGTTTGGAATCACTCAGAAGGTGGATCTTCCGGTTCCCTTGGTTCCAAGCCCACTTGAGCCCCAAGTAAATCGCCCAAAGTTCTGCCTCAGTAGCATTTTCAGTTCTCGTCATGCAACTAAACCCCTTGATCCATTTCCCGTTATAGTCTCTGAGCATACCTCCGCATCCAGTCATGTAGTTCGAAGGGAAGAAGGAAGCGTCCGTATTGAGCACTACCCAGTCAGGTTTGGTGATCCTTCGTTCCACAGTCTTATGTAAAGTTGCCTTAGGCGGCTTCTGTCGGGCATAAGCCTGAGTTACATACAACAGTTGATCCTTGATCCAGTCAACTTTTCTTGCCACACTCCAATTCTCATCTTTGAAAATCCTGCTGCAACGCCATTTCCAAGTCCACCATGCAATTATCGCAAATTGCACTGTCCAGTCTCCATCTCTTACGCCTTTGATTTTACCTGTTACATTACGATTAAGCCAAGTATCAAAATTCACACAATAGAACCACCTATTAGCCCTGCAAGGTATGAAAACTTCCCATAGTTCCTTTGCCGCATCGCAGTCTCGAAGGCAGTGCAATATATCTTCGTCTTGCACGTGGCAGAACGTACATCTTGCATCTACCGTGAAGCCTCTCCGTTTCCTCTCCACATTGGTCATTAGCCTCCTATGTTTTAGAAGCCAGACAAACGTATTGATTTTCCTAGGCAGTTTTAGCTTCCAGATTTTAGCCCAGATAGGATCCTTATCCTCAGAGTTTGTTTTGAGTGCAATATCATAAGCAGTACTGACCGAGCAACGTCCATTAGGTTCAAGTTTCCAGCTGAAATCATTGTTCCCTTCATTACGGCACATTCCTTCTAAAAGGATGGGCTGGGCATCACAGATTCCTCTCCAGAGGTTAGAGCTCCCATTTTTCTTTAGACGAGCAATGTCTTCCGAATTATGCATATATTTGCCCCTAATGACTCTAGCCCAGAGATTATGTTTCTCCGTATGAAGCCTCCATCCCAGCTTTGTTAGGAAAGCTAAATTCATTTCCTTTAACCTTCTGAGTCCTATACCACCTTGATCTTTCGGTTTTGTAATTGCTTCCCAGTTAACTAAGTGCATGCCTCCTCTCCAGACGAATTGTCGAATCATCTTCTCTATAGCGTCACATACGCCTTTAGGGAAGAGCATGGATTGCATCATGTAGTAAGGCGTAGCATTCAGTACACTTTGGGCGAGGGTTATTCGGCCTGCCAACGTCAGATTTTTCCCTTTCCATCCCTCCAGCCTTCCATCTATTCGTTCCAATAGAGGCGCAAAAGTATTATGAGTCACTCTCCCATGAATTGAAGGTACGCCAAGGTACCTTCCCATATTATCCGTATGAGCGAAACCTGTCTCTTGCGTGATGGCCTGTGCCAAAGTAGGATCAACATTTTTGCTAAAATGGATTTGTGACTTCTGTATACTGACTTTCTGGCCTGAGGCATCCTCGAAATTTTGTAGACAAAGTTTGATCGCCTGCATTTGTTCTACGGATGCTTCTGCAATCAAAAGCATATCATCAGCAAAAAAGAGATGGGTAAGTTCAGGTCCATACCTTGAGAGCTTAACCCCTTTCCATGTTTTCTCCTGGACACATCTTTTTATCATCCGGCTCAAACGTTCCATGCAAAGCACAAAAAGATAGGGGGAGATTGGGTCTCCTTGTCTGATGCCTCTCGTGGGTGTAATCCAATCCAATTGTGAGCCCTTCCAGAGTATCGCAAGCTTTGGGGACCTTACACACTCCATTATAATGTCAATCCAATGACTTTCCATGCCTAAGCCTTGTAGAGTCTCATGCAAGAAATCCCAAGAAAGCCTATCATAGGCTTTCTCTAGATCAATTTTTAGAGTCATGGACTTTAACCCCCTCCTTTTTGTTCTCATGGTATGGAGAAGCTCTTGGTACACCGCAATATTGTCAATGATCTGACGTTGTGGGACAAAGCTACTTTGCTCATCTCCCACTACTTGGGTCATGACCTCCTTCAACCTGTTAGTGATTATTTTTGTGATAATTTTATACTTGACATTGCAAAGGCTGATCGGTCTGAACTGGGTGACAAGTTCCGGATGCTGTACTTTCAGTATTAACGCCAGAAGCGTGTCGTTCCAGCTAGTTGGCAGCTTTGCCGTGGTGAAAACCTCCATAATTTTGCGAGATAAGTCCCCTTCGATGTCACTCCAAGTTTTTTGGTAGAAGCCAGCATGGAAGCCATCCGGGCCTGGTGCCTTGTAAGGGGCCATTTCGAATAAAGCATTCTTTATTTCCTCCTTAGTGACTCTCCTGCATAAAAAAGAAACATTAGTTCTCTCAAGTGGTTTTAAGTTTGGGAAATCATACCTTGTATTTGAAGTTATGTTATCCCTCGTGAAGATATTCTGAAAGTGATCCTGCATCATTTTCTTAATTTGATCCTCATCAGAGACCCAACTCCCACTACTATCCTTTAAGCTCGCAGTTTGGGAGTTTGCTTTTTTAACTTTCGTTATGGCATGGTAGTACTTAGTATTGCGGTCACCGGACGTTATCCACTCTTCTCTCGACCTTTGGAACCAAACAACCTCCTCTTGATAGAGAATTTCATCTAACTCGTTCTTCAGTTTTGCTTCTAACTTAATCAACCCTCCTTTCTTTCTATAGCTTCTAGCTCGCTGAATTCCGTCGATCCTAGCAATAATCCGTTTCCTTTTTTTTTTTTCTAAGTCTCCAATTGCAGTCTTACTCCACGATTGCAAGGTTTCTCTCATTAAATTGAGTTTAGAGTCAAAGTCACTATTGAAAGAATTCCTCCAAGTGCTAGAGACAAGATTCCCAAAGTCCTCGTGTAACCCCCAAACTGCCTGAAAATGGAATCTTCTCGGCTTGTTGTTGATGATCTTATCCTCCAGGGTCAGCATAATCGGGTTATGATCAGAAGTCAAGTTTGGTAGATGCATCAAAGCTGCATTCGGGAACAAATCAAGCCAAGCTTCCGTACATAAACATCTATCAAGGCGGGCTGCTTTGAAAGTATTAACAGTCGTTCCACGTCTCCAAGTATACCGCGCTCCGCTAAATCCCAGATCAATGAGACCTTCTCGGCTAATCCACTCTCTAAAGTCTTTGCTGCGTCTTTCATTGAAACTCTCCGGGCAATTAACTTCTTCACTATTTGTGATTGAGTTGAAGTCCCCAAGAGTAACCCAGGCTTCATGCATGCTGCACTGCTGTCTACCTAACTCCACCCATAAGTTACGTCTCAAGTTATGGGCAGGGCTAGCATAAACAATAGAAACACTCCACACCATGTTTTTATTACTTGTAATTTCCAAAGTGACAAATCGAGGATTGGTATGCGTGATCGCTAGGTTGAGGGAGTCGTTCCAGAGGATCCAAATACCTCCACTCATTCCCACCGCTTCTACACGTAACCATTGGTCAAAACCAAGCTTAACACATGTCTCATCCGCTCCTATACCTGATGATTTTGGCTCAAGAATACAAAAGCAATTAGGCCTGTGTTGCCTAATGATTGTAAGGGCAGCTCTAATAAATCTCTTAGAGGCTGCGCCTTGGCAATTCCAAGTTATGATCTTCATAGAAAGACACAACAAGGGCAACAACAAAAAGACAACAAGAAGAAAACAAAAAACGCAGGGGATGGCCTAAGCGATAACCTCTTCCGAGGTGCCACCACGGCTACTATCCTCCGCACATTCATGCCATGGTTCGTCCTCCATAAGCTCACCATTAGGCTCTGGTGGATCCATATGATGTTCCATATTTTCCTCATCTAAGCTTATCAGTTGAGAGGAAATATCATTGGTATTAAGATAGGTGGTACTGACCGAGGATCGCTCAGTTAAATTACCCCTGGCTACCGTGTGAGTGTCTCCTGCAGCTGCTTGGTTGCTTTTGGTTTGCTTTCTGGAAGGTCCTGTCACATTAGAGGAGGTGACATTGTTTCTA